CCCAAATAATGTTTAACAGAGCAAGGAAATTTTCACAGTATGTCTGATAATATTTTTTCTTCTGGAGAAAGTCTTATTTGTTTTATTTCGGCTAGGATAAAAACAGTTTTTTAAAAAGCATTTAAAAGTCTAAGCCCCTTTAAGCTATATATTATTTCAATAGTCTACAGAACAAACCAACTTTATACAATAACTTGCCTAATTACCTTAACCGCCTAGTTAACCTAATTAACCTAGTTAAGCCTTTAAATGTCACTTTAGACTGTTTAAAAGTGTCTTAAAAATATCTAGTTAAATATCATTTACTGTCATTATGGCAGAGATAAAATAAATCAGTAATTAGAAATGAGTTATTAAAATTATTATGTTTAGAAATGTGCTGAAAAAATCTGCTCTCCGTTAAACAAAAATTGGGGGAAAAAATAAACAGGGGGGGGGCTAAAAATTCAGGGGGCCTAATAATTCTGACTTCAACTGTGTATAAATATTATTTCATTTATATATAAATAAATTTATTTATTTCCTTTGGCTTAGTCCCTTATATATCAGAGGTCGCCACAGCAGAATGAACCGCCAACTATTCTGGCAAATGTTTTATAAAGCGGATGCCCTTCCATCCCAGCACAATATCTATATATATATATATATAGGACACAAATAATATGATGACATTAATTCATTTTATTTTTGAATTCTTAATTACTCACCCACTGGTTAAAAAAATGTATTAAAAATAATATATAAAGTGACAGTTGACATGAAACTCCCTGTGTTCGCGTGGGTCTCCTCCGGGTGCTCCAGTTTCCCCCACAAGTCCAAAGACATGTGGTATAGGTGAATTGGGTAAATTAAATTGCCCATATGTATGTGTGTGAATGAGTGTGTATTCCCAGTAATGGATTGCAGCTGGAAGGGCATCCGCCGTGTAAAACATATGCTGGATAAGTTGGCAGTTTATTCTGCTTCCGCGACCCCTGATTAATAAAGGGATTAAGCTGAAAAGAAAATGAATGAATGAATGAATGAATGAATGAATGAATGAATGAATGAATGAATGAATGAATGAATGAATGAGTTCACCTGAAACTGAAATTACTGCCATAATTTACTCAAAGTCCATTTGTTAGCCTTTATGAGTTTCTTTCTTTCTTTTCTTTTTTAAGCTATTGACTTCCATAATATTTTTGTTCCCATGGAACAGCTGCTACATGTTAATATGTGAATGGCTGTCAGTTTACAACAGGGGTGCTCAACCCTGTTCCTGGAGATTTACCTTCTTGTAGATTTCAGTTGCTGCCCATTTCAAACACACCCGCCTGTAATTATCAAGTGCTGTTCAGGTCCTAATTAATTGGTTCAGGTGTGTTTGATCAGGGTGAGAGCTGTGTTTTGCAGGAAGGTAGATCTCCAGGAACAGGATTGAGCAGCCCTCATATATATATATATATATGTGTGTGTGTGTGTGTGTGTGTGTATGTATGTATATATATATATATATATAAACATAACATGTTAAACATAAGTTATAGTAGAAGTTAGTATATAGGCCTAGTATATAACATTTAAGTATATGATATTTAGTTATTATAGTAGTATAATAGGCCTATTTGTTGCACTTTTTTATCAGTAAACAAACTATTTAAAATCAGCACTCGTGTCTGAAGTAAATACTGACTTTAGTGTCTCTAATAAGCCATTGCACAATTTCGCATGTAATAACGATGGTTTCCACTACAATAAAAGTCAGTGTGGGATCTTCGTCAAACATCACTGACATAAATAAACAACAGGATGACAATCAAGACCGCTGACTTTACCCCCAGACCGATTTAATACACCCACTTTCGACTTCACAGGAAATGGAAATAACCGTGTGACGAGGCGATGCGGTAATGTATACGTGAAATTCGCTGCATGATGTAAAATGAACGGATAAATGATAACTCTATCAGCTTTGTGAATCAAATACGCATCAGAATTACTTCAAAACATGATGTTCAGCGATGGAAGCTCATTCAGCAAATTATTTCCATGAACTAACAGCCCTGCATTCAAAAAAGAGGAGCAACTGTGAGCTGAAAGTCATGTTTTCCAGCTGTGGGTGTTGATGAATGCAGACGTTCGTGGACTAAAACCAGTGTTAAAGAGGTCACAGCCACTTACTCACTCAGATTAAAGGGATAGTTCACACACACACAAAAAAATCTGTCACCGTTTGCTCAACCCACACTTGCTGTTTGGGTTGCTTTCTTCTGTTGAACACAAAAGAAGATACTTTGAAGAATGTGGACCTGTAACTGTTGACTTCCACTTGTGTTTATTTCTCACTGTGGAAATCAAGGTTTCCAACATTCTTTAAAGTTTCTTCTTTTGTGTTCAACAGAAAAAAAACTCAAACTCATTAAGGTTTGGAATAGGGCTGCACAATATATTGTTTCAGCATCGATATTGCAATGTGATCATTCGCAATAGTCACATCGCAGCATATGCAATGTTGAGTCTGGATTATAGTTTATTATTTGCATGTTTTTGAGGCATGGTTATTATTCAAGCATAAAAATATTACAATTTGTAATTTTAATGATGATTTTTAAAGATTACTTAAAGACTATGCAGTTTTATTTTACATGTGATTATTCAATTCCTGTGTCTGAATACAGCTATTTAATTTTCATTTTTTGTATTTATCTATGATTGAATATAGTTTTTTATATATATTATACATAATTCACTACTTTACAGAATCAATCAGTCTAAAGTTATGAATTCTTTCCAAATAGAGATACTGAACTCATCTGGTCAAATTGTATTCATATATATATATATATATATATATAAACATAACATGTTAAACATAAGTTATGTTTAACAGAGCAAGGGAATTTTCACAGTATGTCTGATAATATTTTTTCTTCTGGAGAAAGTCTTATTTGTTTTATTTCGGCTAGAATGAAAGCAGATTTTAACAAAAAAAAATTAAGGTCATATTTTTTGGCCCCTTTAAGCTATATATTTTTCTACAGTCTACAGAACAAACCATCGTTATACAATAACTTGCCTAATTACTCTAACCTGCCCAGTTAACCTAATTAACCTAGTTAAGCCTTTAAACGTCACTTTAAGCTTTATAGAAGTGTCTTGAAAAATATCTAGCATAATATTATTTACTGTCATCATGGCAAAGATAAAAATAAATCAGTTATTAGAAATGAGTTGGTAAAACTAATATGTTTAGAAATGTGTTGAAAAAAATCTGCTCTCTGTTAAACAGAAATTGGGGAAAAAAATATTTAGGGAGGCTAATAATTCTGACTTCAATATGTATACACTCACTACTGCTTACTGGCGTTCAGTTTTTCCTCATCTCGGACAAAATAGAGGTGTCATATTATTATTTCCTCTTTGTTTGTGCACAGTGTCAATGTGTTATTAGTAAGCAAATGAGCTGCCAGAACGTTCTGGCTCTTATTGAAGCACACAGATGAACCACTTCCCTTTGTAGATCAACATTTTAGTTGGTTTCTGTTGCAATATTTATTTGGTAAAATGGCTTTTTTTCATTGACAATGTTGTGGAAAGCATTTAGTACTTCAGACTTTAGATTTAATCTGTTTTGTGGATTTTTTTATGGCCAGTGTATTTGTTAATATATATATATATATATATATATATATATATATATATATATATATATATATATATATATATATATATATAATGAGAGCCCATTGCGCCATCAGGTGGTGATAGAAATCGATCAACTTAAAAAAAAAAAAAAACTTTGGTGTTTGCTGTTATTAGTTTAACCAAAATAAACTGTTGTAAAAATGCATCAGATATATTTTTTTCTTTTTGCATAAATCTATTAATTAACCTCAGTTCTGATCAAAACTATCAAATTGCTTGTAAAATTACAAGATTTTAACTCTTTAATTGCCAAATTCATAATGATGTGACTGATTTGGTAACGGAGTCTTGAACATGTGAAACAACCTTGCCTTTGATGCATTTATTTGAATGATTTTCGGTTTAATTATATTCACTTTATATTTATTTTAAATTCTGTTTCATCACATTTACTGTTGGTGGCTGTTTTTGCCCTTGTTGACTTCTATTTTAACCATAATGTTTTGATTGCAAAACCATGTCACCATATAACCATGCATTTTGATTGCTAGTGGTTTTCTCTGTTGGGAAGAGGTAAAATTTGTAATCGTGTATAACAGCAAATTAAAGTGTGTGTATGTGTGTCTGTGAGTGTGAGAGTGACCTTTGCGCTCTTCCTTTAATGTGTCTAAGAAAAATATGCATCTCAGCTATCAGAACTACATGGAGTAAATGAAAACAAAGACTGTGTATTTTGCACCATCAAATATTGTTATAATGAGGCAAAAACAGCCACCAACAGCAAATTAGGGAGAATTTTTTTTTTTGTTACTAATCGTTCACAAAACGACTGTGATAAAATAAAATAAAAAACAGTCCACAACTTAAATACTTTTTATATTGAAAATACGTCATTTTGTATGTTTTTTCATCAGATCAGTGACATCATTTGTGAATTTGCCAATTAAAGAGTTAAAATCCTGTAATTTTTAAAAACATTTAGTAGTTTTGATTAGGACTGAGGCTGAATAACAGATTCATGCAAAAACAAAAAAAGAAAAAAAATATCTGATGCATTTTTACAGCGGTATAATTTAGCGAATGTTTCATCCCAAACATAACAAAAGGGTAGCACATTTGAACAGTGCACAAGGGTTAAGTAATTAAAAGGTTTCTGACGAAAGAGTAAAACCTAGAGCTTACAAAATAGTGACAGTATGAAAGGTTTTAAAATGACAGTAAATTATATAATAATTTTTCTGAGATCATGTCATATTAATTGTTAATATGCCTGATTTTTGTTTATATAAATTATATTATTGCATATCATTGTGCTGAATTAATGAGTGACATTTTAGTTTAAGATTTCAGGATAAAACTGGAAAACACAGGAAAAGGTTGTTGGACAAGGTTTTAATGTAAAATAACCCCAAATGACAACTTATCACTCTCTTCATGATTTAAAAAAACAAACAAACAAAAAAAAACATCTGCACACAACTTCAGCAGGTCTTCAAATGTCTTTCTCACTTCTAAAGAAACTGAAGAATGGAAGCATTGTCTTGTTTTCAATTTGAACCTCTCCTGTTTTGTCGTGTTGAAGGGGTAAAAAACAAATCTGACATAACCCATAAAACATACACGTAGAAGCTAACCCTATTTATACAATAACCTCTTAACAAAAATGTAATTATAACAAGAAGTTTCATTTAGATTGCCAAAGGTTTAGATTGCCGAAAACAGTCTAACCAACTAGAGGATTTTAGAATGTGTTTAAACAGGATTTTTTTAACAGAGTCTGCGATAAAAAGCTGTGTGGTCCTGTGAAGGAATAATGACGTTCTTGAAGTTTCATACAGTCCAGGGAAGGCCGTGGTGAGCAAACTAAATGAATAATAATCAGTGGCCTTTTTTGGAAGATCCAAAACCTGAGAATCCCATCACAGCAGCCATTTCATCGTCATCTTCAAAGTTGAGATCTTCTTCTGCCTTCCTTTTCTTTTCCTTTTGCTTCTCTTTTCTGTAGGCTTTAGCTTTCTCCTCCTTCGAAACAGAATAAAAAAGAAGACAGAGTTCTAATAGGGTATAATTTATCACTGATAATGTCGGTCAAACCATTCTACTATAGTTTTACTCCGATAGGGTTTCTGAAGGTTTCTTCAAATCAAATTGAAGACTTTTTAAGACCATGATGAATTAAACACTAAGCACTAAGGTTTTTTTTTTTTTTTCTAATGGCCAGGTTACATCTGTAAATAGTTTTTGTATTAATGGAAGATCATGTAAAGAGACATGTTGCTTTAGTTTTCTTATTTAGGGAATTTAATTTAGAGACTTTGCTGTAAAAATATCTAACAGTTGTTGTGAATTGTATCTTTCTGCAATAACAAAATTTATATAAAAATATATACAAAAAAGTTTTCTGATGTATTATTGGTGATTGGGTGTCAGGCGATTGGGTAGCTTCACTAGGACATAGGAAAATTAAGACCTTTTTAATATGATTAAGGACCTACAACACAATATTTCAGTGTATTTAGGACTTTTTAAGGCCTACAATTTTCTTTTTGAAATTTAAGACTATTTAAGACACCACGGACACCCTGGTATTGCAACTTTATTTCCTAATTTACTTTTTTTGGCAATAGTGAGATAGTGAACCAAACAAATGATAAAGATAAACAGGAGTCGTCCCATTCAAAGATTTGAAAACCAATAGTCCAAACCTAGTCTTTAAAAGAAAGTCAAATTCTTTAAATTTAGAAAAAAAAAATAAGGATTTAGCTTTAGAAAGTAATCTGACAACTTGATTTGATGGTCAAACTTTAGCTATCACCATTATCAAAAAAAAAGTCAAGACTTTTCTCCCATAGCGTTACACGCAAAGACATCTCATCCAAATCTAAATTTGGGCAGATAGTGAGATCTGATGGGCTGAAATTAATTTTCAGTTTTTACTTCATTATACAAAAAATTATAATGCAAGCTAGGCCTTCACATCTGCCAAATAAATCTTGAGAGAGTTTAATTAAACAGTAAAATAAAGCGGAGCATCTTCCGCCTGTATTTCCTTAAACAATCTATCAATATATAGACAATAACAAAGGGGTCAAAACAGAGTCCTAGGAAACTCTGCAGGTCAGTGAAGCATTTCTTGAGAAATGTTTGCCAACCATGAGTGAAAAATGCTTATTCATGAATAGGCATGGGACGCTAACCGTTTTTAAGGTTTACCACGCTTCGTAAAAGTCAAGGTTTTAAAATTGCCAAATGTTTCTGTAATACCGTTCCTTATTAAGTTTTTAGCTATGATACAAAAACATTCCGCATAAATCCACAGATTTTTTTATAATATTCTGCACAGAAATAACAAAAAATGTCCGCAGATTCTGTCTGGCCATAGTTAAAGGTCACAAATGGCTTTAAACAATGTCCAATCGGAACATGTTGCTCAATACTCAGATTTCACATTGATGTAAATGCCTTTATTGGCATTCTATCAGTTTATTTATGTTCGCATGTGCATGTGAGGAAAACATCACACATAAACATCAGAACTATTGTTGTCTGTGAATTCCATCAGGACTAACTGCTCCTACCAGTCCATCCTACAGACACACATTCAGCTTGAGTAGGCACTTCTAGACAGGGGCGGCAGTAATATATCATACACTGCAGCTCTTAATTGTCTTAATAGAGCAAAAAATCATGTCATCGACTCATGCAGTCGATGCAGAATCATCAAAAGTTTTGCATTCACAGTGACTGTAAAGAAGCCATAATATACAACAGCACTGCTTCACATGCTAATGTTTGGCATATGATATCAGCTCAGCTGCTCGTAAGAAAACCTTCATGTAAAATTTCATGCAAATTTCATGGTTTTCTGCATAGCCGATTTACTGATTTACAAGTAAACTTCTAAAAGCGTTTCTGACATACTAACATTTTTGACAATTCTCTGCTTATTTTGTGCATGTTAACACACAAAGAAAAAAAAAGCCACATTTTCACATTTAATCTTCACCTATTTGCACGGCAAGTGTTTTTCAGCCACCGATAAACTTCAGTTGAAAGGTTTATTTGACCGTTTTCAATTTCAAAAGGATCCTTTTACAGCATTGTTAATGTAATTGGTCACACTTTAAAATAAGATTTCATAGGTTAATGTATTTACTAACATGAACTAATTATGTTAAAATATATGCTGTAATATAATAATTACAATACTCGTGCAGCATTTTTAATCATAGTTTAACATTTACTAATCCAAATTCATGCTTGAACTAACAAACAACATTGTTTTATTTAATGAACATTAACTGACATGGTTTTAGCATGTATTTAATTAAAACATAATTGGTTAAATGGACTTCAGCATTAATTTGGTTTGTAAAGTGTAAAAAAAAGAATGAAAAGCTGTTTAAACAAGCACTGTCAAGAGCAGCAGGTGAGTGCAGAAACTATTGAAAATGCAGTGACAAAGTAAATTTCCATATTTTAAAGACATGGCTCAGAACAATGCCATTTAATGCAGTGCTTCTTGTCCAGTGCGAGACCCACTTCATATCAATTCATCAGTGAAGAGCATTGATTTTAAACAAATCAGATCTTAAATGTGCAGAGTTTATAATTGCACGACAGTTCACCGGAAGAGCTTAAGCTGGCTTATGCAAAGTTAAATGAAGTATGTCACAAATGAAATGAACCTCAGTTACAACACTGACCTCCTCTCGTAACTCCTTCATTCGTTCCTCAAAGTCATACTCTTTCTGCTTTTCCTCCAGCTTTTTCTTGTTCACTTCAAAACGTTTCTTTACTTGGTCCAGCGAAGAGCGCTCTACTCGCATCGACATTCCCAGATTCCTCTGATCTGTGAGCCAGCAAAATAAATGTATGGTGTTATGCACTGACATGTATTGAAAATGCCACTGACCAGTGGAGCAGTCAATAAATTTATATTTTTTAACAGAAATACAACAACTAGATATTGATTTACATGAGCAACATAAAGAATAATAATAAACAGAGCTGCTACAAACAAGTACATATAGATTCATTTGATTAAATTAAAGTGTTCATAATTTATCTTATCAGATATTACCGTTTATTTAGTGTATGACATTTATTTATATAGCATAACTACTTTCATTGACTGATGTGCTCTCCAACAAAGTTTTCAGGAACATCTGGATGATGGTAGGTGCCTATCTTTTAACTTTCATCTGTTTTCTTATAATATATAGTCAAGTCTGAAAATAAAAGCAGATTTTTTCCCCACACTGATGCCTCTTGTACATCATGGGAGAAGCCTGTGTCACTTTCGGTTAAAAGCAACCACTTGCTGGTTGAATAAAATTATATTTAAGTCAGAATATGCCAGGGGTTTGAATAATTTCGGACTTGACAAAATATAAATATATCTTTTTGTGACATATATGTCTGTCAGGTTTTAAATATCAAAGTGGATATTTAAAGTGTGGTTATTTTCTCCCAATAGAAAGAATCTATATTAAAAGGTATGAAATGAGTCATAAGTATTTCCAGTCCTACTTCCTGCACAAACCTATGTAGATTTGTTACAAAGTTTCATAAAGCCAACCTGAGTACTGTTTTTTCCACCGCAAAAAAAAAACTACCGTGAAGCAATGATACAGAATCAACATTTAAAATCAACTCTGAGAAATGAGTTAATAATGTAAAGTTTGAGAAAATGAAAGTGCTTTTTGACTTTGGATGGATCTGAACCTATTGTAAGAGACTTCCGCAACAAAATTATCCTTTAAAATAGAATACAATTTACGATATTGCACAGAAGGCTTTCTATAGGGAGTGTGTCTACATGCAAACCACATTTTATCTACAAGATGTTGTGCAAATTATAAGAAAGAAAAAAGACCTTATAATACTTACGTTTTTTACCATTGATATGATCCAAGAAATTGATGGAATCCTTTACTACACAATCACACACATTGCAGTAATACCTTAACATGAAAAAAAATAGTATATTAATATTTTATTATTTATATTTATACTAAAACATAAATACAAGTTTCAGGTTACACCCACCCTCCCATCTCAGCCTGTGGTGTGGTCTTCGTGATGACGATTGTTTTCCCCAGTTTTGACTCCAGATCCACTTTATAATCTCTGTGGCGGAGGAGCTCCCGCTTGATGGGGGGCACAGGCTTGCCTGGAGAACAAAAATGAAGAATGACATAGGAAATATTGGCCGGAATTATTTACTTTTGTAAAATATTTAGGCATGAGAGAATTATTTCAGTTTGTTGTCAGCATATGGGTTTATTTGACCATACTTCATTTAATTTACTGAATAAAGATACAACTTACATATACAAAAAAATTCCACTGAACGTTTATCAGAATTTATCATTTGTTATTATGTGTTTGAGTGAGACATAATTTTGGTTTTATTCTGTGAACTACTGATGATATTTTTTTACAAATGTTAAATAAAATAGACATTTTCTGGAAAAAAAGGAAAAGCTCTGATATACAATATTTATCTAATTTAATTTTTGGAAGAAATATTATTAGACTTACAGAATAAAACAAATATTTTACATTTTATATCCAATGAATTCAGAGAAATTGAGAATTTACAAGTGATCCTTTGGTTTTTTTGTCTCTGATAACTGTATATACTGAAGGGTTTTTAGGGTTGTTTTAGCTTACCATCTTTTTTCTCTCTCTCCTCTGTGATTCGTTTCTGGGCCAGCTGTTCATATTCATCCTTGTCCCATTTGCGTCGAAAATCATTCTTGGACTAGAAACCAGAATATGATTGTAAATGATGAAGGTACATTTAAGACATTTTAAGGACCTTTTAAAGAACTCGCAATGAAAATGTAATGAATCATTTTAAGGGAACACAACATACAAACACTGAGTTGCAGAAACAATAAGTTGCATATACTTGGCTAAACTTTTAGGTTTGAATATACCAATCTGTATTATTCACGGTACTTTTTGTCACACTGTAAAAAGCACATTCTTCCTTGGTGTTCTATCTTTTCCATTACTCATGTCTAAAGATTATGAAATCATAATACATTTTTAATAGATGAGACTAAAATGAGCTCAGGAATAAACACTCAAACAGCAAAGTCATTTTCCTTCTTTAATAACAAACAATATATTAAACTTTTTAAATTATTTATCGAGTAAATGAAACCTCATTTAAGGACGTTTATGATTTTTATAAAGGAAAACATAAAAATATTGAGGAAAATATAAACTTTTGCGGAGTATGCAACATTTAATGCCTTAGAAAGTATAAATATCTGCTGATTTAAAACCTTTTTTAAGGGATTATTGTCTAATTTAAACTTTAAAGGCCCACATAAATCTTAATTTTAAACATTTTAATAGCATAACCATGACAGTTGAATAACGTTACGCAAATCTACTGGAACTGCACAAAAAACGTCTGTACAAAAGATCGAACATAAATAAGCCATAATATGATCATACTAATAGATTAACTATGCTTTTAAAACGATAATACAAGGCAATATAGATAACGAAACGCTTTACAACTGAAATAAATCTGTTTTTCTTCTTGTACACAACAAAACAAAACCATCTGGCGTCACAACATCGGCCAGTTTTTTCTTCATTCACCTTTTACGATACCAACATTTGCTAACACATGACGCTACAAAATAAATACTTTCTTAAATTACGTTTAAAGTAAGCGGATAGACTAAAATAACATATAAACAAGTCTTAACAGAATTCTTACCCCACTGCCTGACGCCATTTTGCTATGAGGATGCCGTAAAGCGTGTGCGGCTGCCGTAAACAAGCGCCCCTGCCGAACTGCTGTTACTATTTTGCCGACTGTAAAAGTGTCATCATGCTTGGTAATTGTTTTTTTTAACTTTATTTATATGTTTGGGCTTCAAATAAGTTATGCTTACATTTAGTCAAAAACCTGTTTAATGACTACATTTGTGACAAGCCTACTGTATTATTCCTCTCGTTACTTGGACAATTTTCTTGTGTCTAAATAGAGACATACTATTTCACTACAAGAATTTAACAACTACATGTTTAAATCAGTGAAATAAAAACTGTTATTAAATAAAACGTTAATTAAAATAATATCGATTTGATAAATCATTATTATTATTTTTTTTAATAATTAGCGGCCTTACCTGTCTCATTTGTAGAGCACCGCCCCCGTTACACCTGTCGCTGATAAAAAGCTTTGTCAAGCGCAATGTGTTGTGTGGCTGTACGTTAGCCAAAATCATGACAACACGCATAGAAAGCCTTCTTCAAAGCCCCTTTGAGTCGCGGTTGTATGTTTCAAAGCTTGTTTTGTGCCTTTAAAGTGTCCTCATGTGTTGTTGTCCTCATGTAGTATCGTAAAACACTTTGTATTTTGTTATTTTTTGTGATTTAGAGGTCTGCCTCTTCACTTGTGGCCAACAGACGTTGCTCAAGACTTCAGTAGTAAAACCCTCTCTCTCCCATGTAGCCCAGAGCCTTGGCTGCTTCCTGGCTGCAGTTCAGTGTATGATAGTCTTGTCAGGTAAATGTGTTTCTGTTGATTTTAAGGAACCTTTTTATTTATTTATGTTTATTATAATTTTTTTTTTTTGGGGGGGGGGGTGGAACTTGAAAATGTTGTGTTGAGAAACCCTGCACATTGTTTTTCCCTCAGCTGCTCTAAAACCCCATTGTCTGCTTCACAAAATGGAGAAAAGCCTTCTGCTGTTCAGAAGCCTCGCAGGTATGCTTTTTTTTTAAATAATTTGTTACTGGTTGTCTTGTGAATATTTTTTTTTTCTTAATTCCAAATGATGACTAAATCTGTTAGTGCCTTTATTTTTAATTATTTTATTATTAATCTTCAGATCCTCCATCCTTGAGCGATGCATACTTAGGATGTCTACAGCTAGTGTAGCTGTTGGGACGGAAGATCTTGATGGGGTCAAGAGGTCTAACTAATCTTTTTTTTTTTTTAGTTCTGAGTGTGTGTGGTTTTTATTATTTTTAAATGAAAGAAAAATGTATGTGTGTGTATTTTTTTATTATTATTATTATTATTATGTTTTATTTTTTTATAATTTGTCAAGTGACAACACAGCTTTACAGAAATGCCACATGACACTCGCATGTTAAAATCAAATTTGTTATGGGGTTTTGGAAACCGAGTGTTTTTTTTTTTTTTTTTCTCTTTCTTCTTCACATGAAAATGTGTACAACCATGTATTGCATTATTTAAACATGAAACGCTTATGGTGTTTTTTGTGAGGGAACATGCATTATTTTAAAAGGATAACTATAAAATTTGCACATTTTAAATGTAACATTTTAAAATTCAGGGAAAAAAACGTTAAAAAAAGCTCCATATAAAAATGTTCTGTGTGTGTGTGTGGTTTTTAAAGATGAAGCTCTAAGTTTTTTTTTTTTAGGCATGTTCCTCAACTTAAAGCATTTAAGTGTTTATTAATATTAGTTTAAATTATTTCATATAATGCAAGTATTGTTTTACTGATTTTGTAGGTCACCATCAAGGGGAAAGTGGTATCCCCATAATGCTGACCCTTCTCATTTTGAGATCAATGAGGCTGTTTTGAAGCGTAGGCAAAAGCAGATTCAGTATGGGAAGAATACCTGTGGCTACCAGAACTACGTTCAGCAGGTTCCGAAGTGAGTTGTGGTGAACGTAAATATCCAACTATTAGCTGCTAGTGTTCACTTTTCTTCTTGGATGCCCTTCTGATTGTATTAAGAGCGTAACTAATCTTTCTGGCTTCTGTCTCCTCTGTTCAGGCGTCTGCGTGTCCCTGGAATTCATCCTTCCACTCCAAACAAATACCGCAAATATAGCCGCAGATCTTGGGACATGCAAGTCCGGCTTTGGAGGAGAGCACTTCATGCTTGGGACCTGCCATCTGCATCGCAAAATGATACTGAAGGACAAGACCCTGTTGATCAACTGTAAGTTTTATAGGCTGAATAGAGCTTTTCACACATGAAATGGTAAACGCTGGCTCATTCTCAACCTGGTAGTAAATTTAACTACATAATCTGATCACGAATATGATCCACTTGTAATTGGATCACATTTGTAATATACTCCATTATCATGGAATTCAAATAGTAAGATTGCATGTCATTTATTGCAATTTTTGTAATTGGTGGCCTTCACCAATTATTAATTCTCAGAAAAAAGAGAAAGAATTGGGAAAATTCTTATGTTATCTCTTTTTCATGTTTTTGATTGTTTGTTAATGTAATCCAGGAATTATAAACATTTTCCCCACCCCTCTGGGCTTAACCACTCTTACCTGAGTGCCGCTCATGTTACCATATTAACATGTATATTTAATTTAAATTAACTCCTAATTTGAATTTTCCAATGACTGAATTCTTGCAAATCATCAGTTTGGTAAACTTTTTTTTTTATTGTTTATTATTATTATTATTATTATAGTATTTGCAGACATAGAAAAGGAACAGACAGACAAACCCAACGTGATGATCTGTGCAAAATTTAAAGCATGAACTGAAGGAAAATTTGTGACAAGACATGACCTATAAAAAGAGATAGCAATGGATGTAAAAGGAGGGAGGGGGGGGGATACAAATCTTCAGAAATTATACATTATTAGTCTATGTTGTGTTGGGGTAAAAAAAAAAAAAAAGACTGGATCCCACATTTTATCAAATTTTGTAGAGTTACCAGAGGTGGTATGTTAAATTCTTTCCTAATATAAAGTCAAGATGAGTTCAAGAAGCCAGTCAGAAAAAGAGGCCTTGCATTTCTCTTCCAGAAACAAAGGATAACTTTCTTAGCTATGAGCATGCCATACTGAACGGGTAAATGTACATTTTTATTTGAGAGTCTCCAGAAAATCTGACCAACCCAAAATTGCTATCATTGGGTCAGGGTTTACATGTTTTAATACACCAAATTTTTGTGTTTTTGTTTAGTTTTTGGTTTTTATGCAAGATCGTTTTGGTACAAAATCAAATCCTAGATTTGGTCACGTATTTTAAGCAGGGTTGCCCAAACTATTGAAGGGCCAACCTTGATTTCAACCAAACTTGATTGAGGCTTGTCGGCCTAAGGAAATTACTCATGGTAGCTATGCATTTACCTTTTTTTAAGGTTTAAAAATGACTAAAACGTTGCTTTATATTAACTAAATACTTTTTTTTTTTTTTTTAATGAACTTATTACAGTTAAAACAAACTAATTTCTAACAATTACACTAGTCGTGCCTTTAATTTTCTTGCCGATGTATTCTGCAAAAAAAAAAAAGGTGATCAGGATCTCTGAACCATCTGCCCCAACCCTCTTTATCATTCTCACTCATCTCAGATGGCATAACGGGCCAAATCAGAGGTTGCAATGGGCCTACTTTGGGCATCTCTGATCTAAAGGCTATTAAAACACAAGTAACTCGGGTGTCTATTTTATTACTTTTTGGAAATGACTTGTAATCTGTAATGATCCACAATTTAAGTAATCAACACTGTACTGATTCAAACTGCTACAGGGTTAACAATTAGTCCTGTGTGGTTCCTAATTCTGTGTTCAACACGGTCTCTAAACTCTGGGTTGACATACTTATTTGGAGTAGTTGATTGCATCTTGTGATCCTTTTAAATAGTATTGTGCATGCTTCTGAGTTTTTTATTTTTTATTTTCTTTATGCTATGAAGCATGGAATTAATATATTAGTAAATATAAGGACCCGTTCATAGCAATGCTAACCTTAGTTTGGAGCCAGGTTTTACAATCCCAGTTGAAAAGTGCTGCTGATCTACTTTTATGTGAGGAAGCATTCCTTTTACTAGCTGTTTAAAAAAAAAAAAAGATAACACCGTTTTAAAAGCTCTAACGTGAGTTTTGAGTTGCTTTTTACATTATTTTGTAATTTAAACGCTATTAGGCAGAGCTTGCTTGAGAAGATGAACACGGAGCTGAGCGACGGTGGTGAAAAAGAGGACATGAAGTGGGAAATGGCGCCAGATTCGATGACTTCTATCATTTCACAACCCTCTGAAATCTCAACTGATGGTCCTTGGTTGGCTTCTAATGCTTTGCAGGTCAGACCTAAATGTTGTTTATGTTAAGCAAAAATTTTACTACAGCCATCGAATTGTACACTAAATTGGTTGAATGGATTGCAGGTCTGTTGTGACCTTGCCATTTGCAAGAGGCACAACCATGTTCATTTTCAATGCATAAAGGATTTGCATGTCTTGTAAAATAAACCAATGTCCTTCAACTACAGTATGTTTTACTGGTGTTCTTCTGTCCAGATTGGAGCCTCATCCCACCTGAACCAAAGCTCTCAGCATGGACTGGGCTATACCTTCAGCAATCAACAGACAGCACAGGAAAACGTCCTGGGATGGTTGCGGTTTTTGCTTGAAACTGACCACAACCAAACCCAAGCACCTTTGCTGCCGGAAGAGCCTTTCTGGAGAATTGCGTAGTGTCATCAAATCATGTGAATTGTCTGCACGAATATGGCTCAAATCTTGTTCCCACAGCAGCCTTCGAGATTTTGAAGAATCGCACTTGGATCACTTGGTCTTCTAGTTCTGTATGTTGTGTACTTTATGTATTTCGAATTTGTGGTATCCTCTTCAGATGAATGTTATATTGTTCTCAATACTTTGTTCCTTCACTTTTTAGTTTCTATTATGTTTCTTCAAAAGCACGTTCCTATTTTTAATTTGTTCATTGTTCTTGACACTATTTCCCTCCTGTTTGTCACGTCACTGTTTTTCTA